GAGTGACAGTGACATCAACTGCGACGAACCCAGAAGTGACTAGGAAGAGACACCATGACCGTGGCAACTCTTACAAAGGAAAACATTCAGCTGGGGTTGATTTACACTTTCAGAGGTTCAGTCCATAATTACCATGGTGGGGAGAATGGCAGAGTACAGGCAGACATGGTGCTGGCGAAGAAACTGTGAGTTCTACATCGTTTTTTTCTTTTTTTGTTTTAATATTTACCAAAGTTTAGTTACTGTAAATTTTATTTTTTATTGGATATTTTATTTACATTTCAGATGTGATCGCCTTTCCCCATTTCCCCCCACCGGGAACCCCCTATCCCATCCCCCTCCTCCTGCTTCTATGAGGATGTGCCCCCACCCACCTACCCACTCCCACCTCCCTACCCTCGAATTCCCCCACACTGGGGCATCCAGCCTTCATGGGACCAAGGACCTTCTCTCCCACCTATGCCAACAAGGCCATCCTCCTCTACATAGACATGTTGATTTGAAGGCCACTAGAAGACTGACATCACACACGTTCCCGGTCTCTCTCTCTGTCTCTGTCTCTGTCTCTGTCTCTCTCTCTCTCCCTCTCTCTCTCTCTGTCCCTCCCTCCCTCCCTCCCTCCCTCTCTCTCTCTCTCTCTCTTCTCTCTCTCTCTCTCTCTCTCTCTCTCTCTCTCTCTCTCTCTCTGGCAGCTAGCTAGGAGAAGGATCTCTAAGGCCACTCTCTCCATCAAGGCTATACCTACCCCAACAACCCAACAAGGCCACACCTCCTAATAGCAGCACTCCTGGTGGGCCAAGTATTCAAACGCACTAATCAATGGGGCCATGTCTATTCAAAAGACCGCACTAGGTAATAAATACTAAAACACTAAATATAAAGCACAGCTGTATTAAAACTTGAAATTAACATAAATACTTCATCACAGAGACAGAGTAGGGAAGGATCTGTGACAAATCCTTTCATAAAAGTCATGACATTGAAAGAAGCAGATCTACGGGGTGTGATCCTTCAAATGAGCTTCCCAGGGGAACTCCATCAGAGAAGCAGTAAGAAGCAAGGTACTGACCGGGGGGAGGCAGAAGAGAAAGCAAGTAAGAACGACATACCAGAAGAAGAATGGAAACATCACAAGGACGCTCATTGCTCTGTGTGCTTAAATAAACCAGATAAGTAAAGCCTGATTCGTGTTTTATTAAGGTACCAACTATAACAAGATAAACACATCATAAGACTCTCAAATTACATAATTAATGTAGCTTATGTGACACATTCCTATTAATAATCATTTATTATGCGTGAACAGTAAAATGACACTAGACAAGCAATGGGGAAATCCAATCAGAGGGGCTTCCTGACGTACACACTGGAGTCTTATTGACACAGTGCTATCTAACACTAATCCTTGGATTTGGAAGGCAGAAATCTCTTCAGAGTGGTAAACAAACGCGTTCCTCCGAGACTGGTGGTATGATTACTATCACTTCGGCAAATACAAGATAAAAACAATTAAAAAGAAGAAAAACAGGGCACAGGGCACTGCAAGGCCAATTAGGCTGCATAAACCAAACAAGCACAATACTGGAGGGAGTTCGGGTACTGAGCCCAGTACCTCATCTTAAACGTGTCTGTCTTAATCATGACTTCCAGGGAGATTTTTGTGGAGAGTGGCTGCCCCCTTTCTGATGTTGTCTGTAAAGGTTGAGAGCCAATAACAAGATATTCGGGGACACTTTAATGTTCTACAAGAGTCAGACATAGGAATGGACTGAAGAATCAGGTGTAAGGACACAGCAGCAGCTACTTACTCTTATGTAAAATAAACACTTTTTGAGCATCTGTATTATTCTTGGAAACAAAAGAGATGTAGTCCCTGGGCTTAAGGAGCTACACCTCTACAAAGAGGCCAGATAAACACCTAAGTTTACAAGGAGAAAGAAAAGATCCCAGCCAACAAAATGAAGTCAGCCCCAAAAGCCAGAATCTCTTTATAGTCTGAGGCAGAGACTGTAGATGCTTACAGTTCCCAGGTAGCTTAAATCTCTGTGCTCCTCCAAGAGGAGAGGGTTTGAGGGATGGACACAGCGTCCTGGTAATGGTCCTTGAAGTGGAAGAAGAAAGCTCAAGTAAGACCTGGCTTCATCCTGTTATGACACCCCCAACGCACACACACACACACACACACACACACACACACACACGGTATCACCCCCAGTAAGTCAAATCCCTTTTCTGCACCAGTCCCCTTATTTTTGAAATTCAAGTAACACACCCTTTCCTTACTAGATAAGAACTGAACAAATGCAAACCAACCAGAGGTGCCTGGCATACAGCAGGTGCCTAAGAAATGCTGGGGGCTACCTGAATGATGTAAAATATCATTTCAGCCACAACACCAGGACAACTATTCATAATCCTACATTTTTAATTAAAACAATTAATTAGTGTGTGATTGGTAAAAAGAAAAACCTGCTCGTATTTAATATATAAAATATGACGAGTCTGGAAATAAGTAGACACCGATGCATCTTGCTTTGGGGGAAGCTGCTTAACTCTCGGTGAGAGATCTATTATGTTTGGAAGTCCCACTGAGACTCATCCTGGCCTGTGGGGTGGGGGTGGGGTGGGGTGGGTGGCCTGGTGTGGACCTGAGGAATCCTGTTGGAAGGCTCCTTTGTGAGAAGATAATCAGAGCCTAATAGAATACTGCATACTCACACATTCATAAACTTTGTCTTGAGTATTTAATCTATCGAGTTTAATAGTGTAAATCGGAGGAAATCATTCCCCTTCAGTCAATGTGGCCCCAGCTCCATGTTCAGTTAGAAACAAAGAAATCTGGACATGATAGTTACTCTTTTACCAGTGAACCCAGAAACCCAGAATTCTAAAAAGCCCAAACTAGTAGTGAGGGACAAGACCCCAAGATACCCAGCCACCAATCAGCCCTAGCCCTAAAGTCCAGTCGGGAAGGCGGCTGGCAGTACAATCTGTGGACGCTCTCCCTAGCTGTGTTGAGATCACACCAATACAGCACCACTCTTTATGTGGTGTGTGAATAGTCTTCATGGATCAGTTTGGTAAAGCACCTGATGTGCGACTGTACCACTACAAATGCGTTCCCAGACGCAGCCAGAAATCATGGCAATGGTACTATCCTTTGAGCATTCTGGTATGACTAAGAAAATAAACGGAGTCTGATAACGGTTTAATGGTGCCTACTGGAGTTGAATAGCGTCTTTCCCAAGGTACCTTTCACTTTCAGTGTACAAAAACTGCTCTCAAGCTAACAACAGATAATCACACAGAATCAGACAGCTCGGCTTCTATGAGCTCTCCAGATTGATATCCGGATGCTTACACCATGATGCCTTATGATCGTGAATACAGAAAATAAACACAGTCTCTGGTATAACCATCTAAGCGTCACAGCGTGAGTAAATACTGCAGTGGATCCTAACACTTGAAACAGAATCTTCCAGAGTCCAGAAATCCACCTGGCTGCCAAGAATAATACTTCCGTGGTTCAAGCAATACCAGTACCCAGAGGGGTTTTCAGTGACATAACCATATGAGTTACTACATGTTGGGTAAAATAGAAAAAGCAGGCATTTGTGGACGCACAGTTTGCAGAGATCTCTAAACTACTCAGGAAGATTAAACAAATGGAGAAGATTCTCGGACTATGCAGCATCTGTTTAAGATGTTTGATTATATGGGGTTCTCATGTGTTCTCATGGGAGTGGGAGGCAGCACACAAATCTCTTATAACAGTCTTGTTGAATGAAGCCCTATGATGAGAACTGAACTAATATGTGAGTGACTGTGGCTTTGGGCTGAGGTAGAAAGAACTGCCACTGGATAAAATCGAATCAATTAGATACCAAAGAAAACCTTTGCATTCGTCGGGCTATAATGAAGTGCGGTTTGCTCGGCTCCCTGGCAGTCAAACCAGCGCCGTGTTGTCTCAGTACTTCGCACATGATTTCTATTTCAGCTCTGATGTCAAACTCGGCATCGCACATCGTGGCACAAAGAAAGAACCAGTTTAGCTAGTTGAGTGAAACACCAGACAGCTGCTAGCAGAGACAGGTCACGGCTGGGGAGGGGCACGGCACATTCAGTTCGCTGTGTTTTCCTTCAGAAGAATGTCAATAAAAACCATGGCCAAATGAGGTATTGAAGGGAAAGTCCTGCTATGCTGTAAACCGCTGGCTTAACCTAAGAGTGGCAGTCAGGCAAGTTTGCAAAGGGGAACCCTGGCCAAACACACGGGGCTGCCAAGAACTTGAAGAAAGCTGTCTCTCTCCCTCGGTCTCCCTAGGAAGGGACGGGTCCCACATTTAGAAACGTTATTTCGGGGACCAATAGCAATTTATTTTGATAGAACCACTGGATGTTTTTCCTCCGGTTCTCAACAAAGGAGCCATATTAGGAAATAATCTTGCAAAAAGCAAAGTACGCCCTCCCCCTTGCCCACGATCGATGCACACACGCGGCGCACAATGGCCGGCGCGCCCGCACTCACCCACGCGGCCGC